CGCTGTCTGTACACGACCGCGAAGGTCCTGGGTGTGGGCTTGGCCGTCGGCGTCATTGCGAAACTTATTTTGCCGGACACCTGGTGGCCGGCCGCCTTGTCGCAACGGGCGGCGGGGGAAGAAGACTTCGTGCTGCCGGAGACATCCGCATATTTAACCGACAACCGGGGGGTGGAGGGCCTCATGCCGGAGGAGACCTGCGGCAGTGGCTTCCTATACTGCGGCAGCAACTGTAACGGTGACGGCAGCCGCCCCTGGCCGATCGCCTTCGGCAGCCCGTGGCCTATCTCCTTCCCACTGGCCTGGGATATCGCCCACGAATTCACCAGCGAACGGTGCGCTGTGGTTTGCGACACGCCGGAAGAAACGAAGAGCTTTCTCGGCGCGCGATTGCTCACCCACTTTCCTCAAAGCCCATTCTCGAGCAACATGACGTTGTTGAACGACGCGGCGTTGAGTAGGACAATAAGCGCATGGCTGAGTGGGAGCTTGAAGCATCCTCCGACAGCATCGTGGGATGAGCAGTCCAAACAGGTCTTAAAGGCACTCACTCCCTACGCAGGATGCCGAGGTAGCGAAATGTTGTGGCAACGTCTTGGCGAATCCACCGGATGCCACTGCGACCTAGCCAGCGTCACATGTCCAGTGACGATCAAAAGCGGTCAAGTAACTCACAATGTCACACTCACCGACTTGGAAACGCCCCTGGCCAAGGTGGCCAACGGCTTCGCTAGCTACAAGGAAGATGTCTACGACGTGAAGTGGTGCTCTTTCGACTGTTGGAACGTGAGGCCAGACGTCAAAATGGCTTCACGCATTAACAAACTCGCAGCAGATGCCTTGAGGGCAACCCGGACAAAACCTACGCCTAAAAGGCTTACCAGGAAGGACGTGAAGTATTTCCGTCTTCATATAGGTTGAAAGACGAAGAGGGGAGTATTATTCTGAATCAATGAGAGCTTCGTCGATCAGAGCTTCGTCGATCAGAGCCTCGTCGGTCAGAGGGTTTCGTCGGTGACATTTCCCACACGTACCAGGACGTAACGCACTGAGACAAAAACTGAACTGCACTGCACCCAGCAAAATGGGTCGGAACATCGACAGCGGTAACATAAGCACAAGTACTAGCGCCACGCGCTTAACCAATCACAGGCAGGAATCGTGGCTGAGCCAAAGTGGAGGACCAGAGATCGAACGAACTACTGATGGGCTGTTGACAACAGACAACAAGTCAATCACCACAATTAAAGCAACACCACTCTCGCGAACTCGAATTTGGGAAGGGAGACGCCGTCTCCCACTCGGTCCAATTGCTGGCGGAAAATTTTGATTTTTTTTTTTTCAGTTCCAGTAGCGATAGAGAATACCACAAGCTTGATCCAACCGACCACGGGACAGTTAAATATTAAATAGGTTCGACCGCAAGTAGTCGGCTCGAGCTTTGAGACGACTACTTGCGGTCCATCTGACTTGCGGTCGGTCCAAGCATTCAAGACGGACCCTGAAGACTTCTTTGCGATGAGACAGGTCAGGGGCACCGCCAGCACACCAACAGAGCACCAACATAGGCTTGTGTGAGGGACCACCTCGGCCATCGCCTGCTGGTAGGTGTGTGCTGGGGGCGTGTCTGTGTGGGGAGCGGCGAATCGACGACCACAGACAGGTGAACGTCAAAGAGGAGGCACACGGGCCAGCAAGCGCGCTGCACGAACCTCTATTTTCGGAGAAGAAGGAGACCACGCACGATCTGTACTAAATATATTAATTTGGGAAAAAGTTTAATAGTGTCGGCAACGACGGCTAGTACGGACCCGGCCGGATCTGGTAGGACAATCTCTTCTTACTTTTTTTGGTTGGAAGATGCGTACATTCAAGAGTGAGTCAAGTGGCTTGCCAGGGAGCGAGTTGCTGTCAGTATTGATCCGTCCGGATGGCAGCCAGACGAAGTTGGACGATTGTGTAGCACAGGTGGTTACGATGCGCGCGGGCAGGGCCGGTGGCGAGGTGACGGCTTTGGTGTTGGCGCCCGAGTCGGCGTTTGAGGAGTTGGAGACGGTCAGCGAGCGAATGCCGTTGGCGATGGAGACGACTAAGGTGGAGAACAAAAATTACGACTGGTTCGAGCACTGGGACCGAATGATTGTGTGGCGAGCGAAGGAGGGGCCTGTGAGCGACAAGGACGCCGAGGCGGCACTGCTGCTCGCGCTGCGGCGCCGGCTGGAGAGCAGGGGGCCGCGGGACAAGCCCGAGGCGGTGGGAGCGCTGTGTCGCGAGATCTTTGGCGAACGCCTGCAGGACCTGCACGCCATCCTGAATGGGAGTAGCGAGATGCAGCGTCCGGACGAGGTAGACGAGGTCAGCGTGACTGTGACGCGGCCGATAGACCCGTCGGAGTTGGAGGAGCTCTTGGCGCAGGTGCCCGAGAACTGGTTGCCAACGTTACTAAGGGCGGCGGGATGGAAAACTGCAGACTGGAAGATTGCGGACTGGAACGACGGGGGGGACATGGAGGCCGCACAGGCGAAGCCCAGACGCGAAACGAAGCACTGCCGGTACGTGACCGGGGGCGTCCTGATCGCGGGCCTGGCCGTCGGCGTCGTCGCGAAGCTTATGTGGCCGGGCGCCTGGTGGCCTCAACGAGAGGCGACGGAAGAGGAATTCGTGTTGCCGGGGAAGTGCTCGCAGTTAACCGACAATCAGAAAGCCGCAGTCATGGGGGTGGTCGGGAACCACCCGGCCCCGGCGGCACACTGCGGCAGCGGCACCTTGCTCTGCGGCAAGGGGTGCACCAAATCCGGTAGCGGTCCCTGGCCCATCGCCTTCGGCTACCCCTGGCCTTACTCCTTCCCGTTCGCCTGGAAGATTGCTCACGCGGCTGCACCGGCCAAGTGCGAAGTCCGCTGCAGCCCCCGGGAAGAAACACAACGCGTTTTCAACAGACGACTCCTGGCACAATTACCCCTCCAAGCCTTTAACACGACCATGTCGCGCGAGCGGCAAGTTGAACAAATCAACGCAGCACTTACTCAGCGATGCGCAGGCTTGAACACTCCGTGGCAGAACGTCAGCGCCCTCACCGACTGTGTCTGCGACATAGCGTCCGTCAGCTGTCCGGTAGTAGTCAAACCGAAGGGTAACAATATGATGGCAATGATGATGGATCAGGAAGTTCACGGAGTCACACTCACGGACTTCGAAGCGTCCATGGCCAGGCTGGCCGGCTTCTTCGCCGACTATCCGGACGACACGTACAGCATCTCGCCCTGCTCTTACACTTGCTGGAACCTAAGTCCGCAGGCCAAACAGACCATAGAAGCAAACAAGGCCGCAGAAGCCGCCCGCCAGGCCACCAGTACTACCAGCATGCCCACCACCGCGAAGCGTTCCACCGCGAAGCGTTCCACTGCAACCCGCAAGCGTTACCCACTGACAGTTCAAGAACAGAACAACTGGAAGAAACAGCTTGATGACCTGGAATGGGTAATTCCTCAGCCTTGACCGTAGTCATTGGCAACGGAGCATGTCCTCAGCCTTGACCGTAGTCATTCGCGATGTACCTTACAGGATGGATGACCTTCTTGGGCGAACCGAAACACGGACGCCGTTAGGTATTGGGCGAACGACACTCACACCTGATATCCACTCATAGTCACGGCGAACCGATAACACGGACGCCGTTAGGTACGACACTCACACCTGATATCCACTCATAGTCACGGCTATACAAACCAGACCAAAAGCGCTTGGGGGAAGAACAAAATGAATCTGAGAAAAAGTCAGACGGGAAAAATCTAACCCGGAAGGGGAGACGGTCAGGATACCAACATAACAATCAGCATACCAGCAGAGCACCAACACAGGCACCATACAGAACCAGGCACGCACGACACGTGACACCAAATGTGGAGTTAGCCAGCTCAGGATCTGGCTGGATCTCTGAGAATACAAGGTCCAGATTGTAGTTGGATTACTACACCATGTATCCAACATCACTTTCTCGAGAGAACATCACTTTCTCGAGAGTAGGTCTGGCGGATGCCCGTTGACCCTCAGTACAACTGGGAGTGCAACATGAGCTAGTTCCACGACTGAGGGAACAACTGTGCTTCAGCAAACACACTCGGAAGTTGTAACCGGGGGTGATGTCGACCATGCTCCCGTCTTTCTGTGGATAGACGAGCAGGGAGGGTTTCTTGTTTCGTCCACAACCAGGCAGGGCATTGCGACCCAGATTTGGAATGATCAACTCAAGAAAAAAGTTTACAACATTCTATGCCAGAGACGACGCCTGACG